AGCATAAAGGATTAAAATTAAAATCAAATTACTTTATTTGTATATATAAATTGATATAATTAAGAACTTTGAACGAAAATGTGGTATATAAAATCTTTCTTCATATCAAAAGTTTTTATTTAATCATGTTAATAATAATTATTTAAAAACATATTTTCGGTTAAAATCAAAATAATAAAAAACTATTATATATATATAATAGTTGACATGATTTTATTGCTCTTTTTTAAAATAAGTTTTATTATTAATTCTTTCGCTGACAATTTATATAAAAGCATAGAATAATACAAGAATTAATAATAATATTGTTCAGATAATATTTGCTCAAAGTATAAGTATGGTTATGTATGTTAAGATTAAAAGAATTGGCTGTAAATATTTCGCTGCAATGTACTTACGTCTATGGGTCCGTTGCGGTACCATCGGATTTCAACTGTAATATCTCTCGATAGTTCTTGGGAAATCAAGAAAATATTTTCTACATTATTCTAGTGCACTTACAGGAGTTCTGCTCGACACTAGACAGATGACTGTTGGCGGAGAGATCTTAAAGTCATTATAAAAAAATCACATTTATATTCAAAATAAATAGAGAAGTTTGTTTTCAGTATACAGATATTATATATTATATATCAGTATACAGATATTTCAATATATATCCTTATTTCTTTTCGATTCTATTTTATATTGATATTATTTATATTGAATGCTTACACATATGTATTACAGTACTGTATATTATCAAGATATTTCTTATTATTATGATTAATATCGTACAAAAATTTATAATCGATAAACTTAGTCCTTTCAGAAGGTGCTTTTAGTTGTTTTTGTTATAGATATCGACTTTAAGTTTGCTAAAAGAAGTACCTAATTTTCTGCAAAACGTCCTTTTCGAAATAATTTTGACTACAGACTCTCTTCCACTTTCTTCTCTACTGAGGGTCTCATTCTTAAGCAATTCTTTTGCTGTCATTTTTTTGGGGTTTAACTTACTACTTTTATTTGAGAAAAATATTTTGTTTAAAATTATTTTTGATTAATTCAGTTAAGCCTCATTTAGGCTCGTTTTTGGACTCCTTTTTTTGAGCCTGAGTTCATTTTTATTTTATTCAGGCATAGTATTAGATTTCTTTTGAATGTAAAAAATGGTTTCAATATTACAAGATTGTCTTATATTATTCCTAAATAAATTCATATAAAATTGTACTGACCACTGAAATGTCATTCTCAAAGAAACCAGAGAATAATTAATATAAAAATAAGAATAATAAAGAAAAATACTTTTTTGCATTATACAACATACTTCATATTAAATTATGACAGATTATGATTTTCATACTGAACATATAGAGAGATTTGGAGCAGTAGTGAATTGCAACAACAAAAATTTTTATTTATTTTTTAATAAATAGAATTTTTGGCTATGATTTTCAGTGATCTTTTGGAATTATTTTTTATATTTAATTAATTGTAAACAATTTTTTGTAACTGAAAATACCATAGGTCTGTCATGAACGTTGTCAAATTTGAAGCTGAGCGTCAGTCTACATTAACCAATTGACCCAAAGCCGTACTTGAGTAGGGTGTTCGAACTTGGAGTTGAAAAGTCAGTTATGGTTGAAAAGGATATTTAGTCTCCTAACATGGTCACCAAAAATACAACGATCTGTAATTAAACCTACTACAAGACTGATATCTCTACAGGGCATCTCAATGAAAGAGTTTTATTTTTGTTTTTGTTGGAGCGTGATTAAATTGCATAGAGATGCCTGCATATCGTTGAGTCTTCTCATCCTTTGTTAAAAAGTACGGTACAGGAAGAACTCAGTGCCAGTTTGTATGAGGTCAAGAATATGCCTAAATTGTTTAGTTTTTCCGAGTGGTTTCCAAAAGCACTCCGTTTGGCTAGCGCATCTGCTTTGCAATTGCCAAAAATATTCCTATGATCGGGAACTCGAATTAGACAAATGTTTAACAGTGTCGACATCTCATTTGGAGATATGTAGCAGTCAAAGACTGTCCTAGCTGTAAACTGGACTGAATTCAAGGACTCTAAAGCAGCTGATAGTGTATATATAGTCCTATTAAGTAGGATTAGTTAGTTATTTTATATTGTATTCCGTAATGTGCGTTTTATTTGTATTAATATTTATTTAAATACACTGTGAAAAAAATTTATGTTTTTTACTGATCAGTAGTGCCATTGCTGCAAACCGGCAGCCATCTATGGACCGCTGTTTGAGAATCCTTGCTACAGATTATGATAATAAGCATATGGTAATTTGAATATTTCTGCATTATTATATACATATAGAAATTCAATTGTTATCTCTAAACACTTGAAGTAGATAGTTTGTTTGAAACGATAAAAATGTGTAATACTATTTACATTATTTGATTAAATTGAATTTGATTTAAGTAAATATTTTTTTATTGGTAGAAATAAAATTTAATACTGTAAGTGCATTACATAGATATAGATATTTTCTAGCCCAGCAAGCAGAAACCATGTTTTGCTACACCCTCAGCTTATATCAAAAAACATTAAAATTTACTGCACAAATGCATCTATTTGCATTCATGTTTATGGTATTAAGATGCATTTATTGTTCTGGAAAATCTTGTAGTTCGTAGTACTGGTATATTCTACTTTCTATGCAATTGCAGTTATAAAACGAAAAGATTCGTAGTTAACTTACCAACTGCTTTTTACGGCAGTAATAAATTTAAAATATTCTGCATGATTGCTGCAGTTAAAAAGCATCGCGGCGCAGAGAGCAAATATGCTGGATGTTAAGTAAATTCACTATTTAAGGTTCCTATAAAATTTTTATTTTCAATTTTTCCTCATTTTAATTTTTCACTTTAAAATATCGCTGCATAAAGGAAATTCATATTTATCAGCTTTAATAGAGTTGCAAAAATTTAAAGTTCAATCTTTCCATGCATTGTAAATATTTGTGCTCTGAATTATTTACTCAGCTGTTGTTTGGATTTCGATTTTTTATGGCTTTTTTTATTATGAATAATAAATAGCAAATAAAATATAAAATCTCGACATTTCGACAAATTTATGTTTTATTCACAGATTTTTACGCCGTATTGCGTTTGTATATTTTCAACGAGATTGACAGCAGGCAATTTTTCAATGAAAATAGGAAATTCATGAGCAAACGCCGAAGCCGAATCCAAAGCCAAAGTCGCTAGTGGCTGTTGGCTGTTGGTTGTTGGCTAATGGCTGTTGGCTGATGGCTTGTGTACCGAGAGTTGATTGACTCGAAATTTGTACTTGTATTTGCACAAATTTTCCATTCAAAGGCAACTCAATTTATTTTGTCTTCTCTAACAAGGTCAAAGTGAATTGGCTTCCCACCGCTGATTCCATAAATCATTTGTTTTTCCGTCTTTTCAAGTTGAAGCGACGATTCAATGCACTTCTTTTGCTACACTGTAAAGATTTTAGGGTTCAGGGAATTATAAATTTTAATTACCTTTGGTAGTGTACTTAGTCAAATAAACCACAAAACAATCAAACTAAATTGCCCCAAAAGTCAATAGAGACATTTTTCACATTTTATTCTATATGATTTTGTAAATTTAATGGAAAAAAAATTCAATCAAAATGGAATTCCAAAAAAATACCCCAAAGTTTTTAGAAAAATCCACTTAAATTTGGGAAGGCACTAGCGTATATTGGAGGGTTTTATTTTCTGCAGTTTGGTTTATCTATAAAAAACGTTATGAAATATTGTGAATGAAACGTGACCTTACTAACCATGTACTGGACATGTCATACATGGACGAATGTATGTTCGGATTTAGCAAACATATCTGCCTGCATATAGTATGTGTGGGGACCAACCAGCATAGCCCAAACATCTAAAATGTTTTTGTAGCCAAAATCGAATTGGGATTTGTGCGCTCGTAGCATTCGAAATTGATTCCAACTTATTGAGCAAAAAATTTGATTAGACAATTTTATTTGTGTTAAGTTGTTTTCTTGTGGCGGAAATCGTTTACTGAAGTGCGGATTTTGTGTTTGAAATAGAAGTTTTATTCCACTTGGCGAGAAGACCACTTGTTAAAGTTTAGTTTTATTGCATTTAAACATAAATAGTACTTTCACTCACACTAACGAGAATAGATTTTTGCGAAAGTAGAAAACTATAAAAAATGCTGCAGTATGAATAACAAAATTAGTTTCATTTTTAATAAATAATTAAATACAGGCCTTTTTTTTTAAAAGGTTATCGCAAAAGAACACAATAGAATTAGCACTACTTTTGATAGCAACTCTGAAAAAAACGGAACTTTTGTTATACTATGTTCATATAAATTTTCTTAATTTCGTAAAAATTGAAATTGTGTTAATTTCGAAAGTGTTCATACTGCCACAAATTAAGGAAATCATATGTTTTTTGTTTACAAATCGTATGTTAAAAATTATATGCTGCAAACACCATTTGTGTCTGGGAAATTTTAAAAGTGGATTATTATAACTATAAAGGATGACATTCAGTAGTTTTACTAGCCCTTATTTTTAATCAAAAAGTTTCCTATATTCAAATTTAAAAATTCGCACTACTTTCAAAATATTTTCTGGTTTTAATATAATCAACTGTCATTGACATTTACTTAAAAAAAATGTTCCTTTTTAGTTATCTCAACTTTATCTTTTGCTTGCAATTTATCTTATGCATAGTTGCATTCGAAATGTCCCTTAATTTCAGACTTCGTTTCTACGAAATTAATTGAGCAAAAATTTTTAATTTCAGTAAAAAAAAATATATTGAGCTTATTTAAAATAAATAAACTCAGCATTACGAAACTTTCTCAGCATCACGAAATAATGTAGAAAACGTGCAACAAATTATTTAACAAATGACTCTGAGTTTCAAATTTGGCAGGGCACGAGTTCAATCCTTGATACTTACAGTCTCAAAAAATTATTAACGAATAATTAAATATAAGAATTATTTCCAAGACCAGTGACGCTTGATAGTCAACCGAAAATTCAATTAATTAAAATAATATAAAATAAATTTTTGTTGTTGTAGTTTCACTACTGATCGAAAAACATCTTTATTAATTTATTTATTAAACAATTATGACAATTAACTGGAAATTTTGTACGAATTTAAAAATTTAATTCACAATAGACCAATTTTTAGGTTTGGCAACCATCCGATTTGACCTTTAAACAACCATTCGATTTGACCGATTTATTTAAACAACTTGAACTAAATAAGCCAATTTATTTAGTTGTTTTATATATTATTTTAAATTTTATTTTATAAATGTTTCATAATATTTCATTTGATAATATCGAAAAATTGGTGCTATATTGAAATTAAGTTAATTCAAACGCTAATTGTGTTAGCACATTTTATATAAAATTTGAGCCGATATAAAGTTAATAATATATATTAATAAAAGTGACAAGTTAGAGGTTCTTTAAACATCTCTAGTACGAAAACAAAAGTTTATATTATATATTATTATTTATATTGCCAAAACGGACGTTTAAAATTAATTTAAAAGTAATAAGTAAATTCTATTAAACAAAATAAAGCTGTTCAGCATTCTACATATATTCACTTTTTAAATTTTGTAAGAATATATGTTCATATATAGATGTATATATACATATGAATATATATTCGTATATATTTTCCAACGTTAACAACAGATTGCTTTTCAATTTGAAAAATTTATTTTATTCACGTTGTGTTACTCTCGCTGTAATTTTTATTTATGCAATTTACCTTATTTAAATGAAAACGCAATATTCATAAAAATTAAATGAAAATATAATTAAATTATGAAATTGTTTTTGTTTTTTTTTTTGTTTACAGTATCCGACTTCACCGAAACCCTTTCCCAATTATATGAAGAACATGCAAATGCCCTACAAACTTTAGTATCTAATTATCGCAAAAAGAATGCAGAGCTACGAAAAGAGAGGTAAAAGGTTCTTAAACAAAACAAATTATTTAAAAATTCAAATTAATAAAAATATGTTAAAAAACCCTAATCTTTTATATATGAGTCAACATTTTTTTAATAACATTATTTATGATACACTGTTATGTATTTTTAAATGCTTCGAAACTTTTAAATATAACTTTTAATTGTGACTTTTATAAATAATTTTGTTACTCATACGCACTACAGGCCCGCATGTCACTTGGCAATTTTCCAAGCATGGGAAACATTCCTACAAGAAGTTGAAAACGACTCCCAGGCATCAAACGATGTGGCCAGTGTGTTATCACGGCAGGTTTGTATAAATAATATACTTTTATTATTAAAAATTTAATATCTAATAGATACAAGATTCATGATAGTAACATTATTTTGAAGTCAAGTACGCTAAAAATTCTCTTCTCAAAAATAGTGAAAGGGACAAATAGTTAGTAAACACAACGATATTTCCTGGTTAACTTTAGAGCTTTTTTAGATATCGCCAAATATTCTTCGTCGTTTTTGTTGTCTGTGAATAGTTTTTAGAAAAAGCGATTTCTGTTGGTAAATGCCTAATTGCCTAATTTTTTTTATATGTATTATTTTTTAATTATTATTCTACTGCATACGAAATAGTTCTTTAAGAATTAATCCAGGATTAATCCAGTAGTCTTGCATAATGAATTTTCGCTGAACTTATCTAGTCAGAGTGATAAATATTCTCTAAGTACTATAGATGCTAGAATAAATGAAGTAAAAGAAAATTTATTAATAAATAATTAAAAATGTTGAAGGTGTACTATGTGCCAAGTGTCTGTCCGATATCAATAATATTGGTCGTCCCATTCTATTTTTTGTACTGTATAAATGAAAACAGCTTGCTTGACAAAATGTTTTTCATACCATAGATTCGCCATCGCTGATATAGACATTAATGTTTAGTAATGTTAGTATATTAAAGCTTAGAGTAGGTATTTATTAGAAATATAATATAGGACTAACTATTCCTCAGTCAAAGTGCACAAAAATCTGTGAAACCACAATCAATCCACCTTCAAGATTAAAGATTCCCTTATTATTTGATATTCGGATTGCCATTACATTTATTCCTCTAATATATTATCACTTAAAGATAAATATGTGTGACTTAGATAGTACACTGCTATCTTCAACAGATATACACAGAAATGAGAAACTATATTTAAGAATATAGGAAGACTTTTGAGGATGTGGTGGTACATTAGCAATGGCACATTTGATAGTTTTACATTTTTAGCCACTGTCGGTGGGTCATAATGTTCCTAATGGTGTATAAAATCTTCAACATTATTTATTAAGGAATTAAATAGTGTTTTGAAAATGGCATGACACATTTTAGCTTTTTTAATTAATTAAGTTTTCAATATCACAGTGTTCCTCTGAATTCCACACATGCAAGAACTCAGTGGGCAAAAGTGCGATTTAACAGCACCAAAAGTGAAAGTTATTTCATTTAACTTTCTTCACTCTACTTTGATGGCATTTTAAACTGTACAGGATTTTTTCATCGATAGCAAATACACGTCGACGAATTTTAATGATTTGATTTAATGTCCAAGGACTTTTAAACTCTACTTTTTTAGTCGACTATTATTTAAATACGATAGATATTCAGCTTGAGTTTTTCATTTTCCTTGTCTTTTTTCTATTGATAGTTTCACCAACTATTGATAGTCTAGAATATAAACAGCTTGTAATCATCGCTCTTATAACAAATATGTTGTATGATAATAAAAATAGCAGCAGGGTTTCGTATTAATTTTCCTAATATATTGAATTATTATGGTTTAATCTATTTAATTCTTATTGTGTTGGTAAATATATTATTTAATAAGAAGTGTTAAAATTAATTATATATGAGGATTACATTCTTTATTATCGTGATTTTTAAATTTATACTACATAAATTAAACATGTATTTTTTTTATAAATTTATTAGGTATCACGTCCAATGTTAGATAAGTCGTTTCATCGAAAAGTCCAAAGTCGAAAAATATTTACACACAGGGAGTCTTTTGAGACTATAATTGCAAAGACTGAAGAAAAGCTGTCAAAGGTATGTAAAAAATGTATAATACGAGTATATACTATACATATAAATATTTTATTTCATTAAATTGTTTTAACATATATTATTCCATGATCGCTTTTAGCGTTTTGGAAATCAGAACAGTCTTTGTTCTGATATTGGTTTGTTATTTTCTGTAGTTATACTAATTTCCTTATTTATAATCAATCAATCAATTTTTAGATAGCTATATTTTGAACACAAATGATTTATTGCAACAAAATTTTAGTTTTTAATTAATTAATTTATTGGCTGCCATTAAAGCTTTTTCGTATACCAATTGGCAAGTACCAATTATCAGTTGCCTTTAGAAATTTTTCTTGAATTTAATTTTTGGTAAATTGCTATTGCTATTGATATTGAGATGTATGTTATTAAATATGAATAGAATTTTACATTAAAAAATAATAATTTAAATGATAATGAAATGAAATTCATTTATCTATTAAATAATCATATAAGCAACCAATATTATGAAAGCATTAAGACACATTTTCTAATAAGTATCTTACGTTTCTTAATGTTAAAGAAAGTTATAGTAATTTTCCAGTTGCAGTAAATTAAGTAACTTTAAAGTTGAAATTCTTAAACTAAATAACAATCAAACTTTGTACTATGTACTTTTTTATTTACACATAGTACAATTTATTTGTTAGTTCTGAAAGTTAGAAGTTATTAAACATCAAAAAACAACTTCCATGTTTACATATTTCTCCTTTTAAGCTCCATGAATATTTAATAATGGCAAATGTACTGTAACTCAATTTTTGCTAGTTTAGAGCATTTCCTTTTGCTTGTAGGTTTTCGTATTGATTTTGTATTCAGAAATTATTTATTTATGGAGAGGTGATATTTATAACTGACGTTTTAAAAGTTGGGAAAGAAACAATGAATTTCAAATTATTCACAGTTTTTGTATGTGCGGATATGATATCTCACATTTCAACATAAAAGTTCATTCAGTATTGCATCGTATGAGTTCGATTTAATAGGATTTTCATAAAAGCAATTTTGTAGTTGAACTTTAGTACGAGTGCTTCAATAGAAATAGAGTATGAGTACGAGTGGTTCAATAAAAAATTAGGTATTATTTTGTATTGCTATTGGAATTCACTGCTGTGATACATGTAGAACTTCACATAATTCGTATCGAAATATCATTTGGTAATGTTTCGATTTCATTGGGTTTTCATATAATAGGTTTATGGTCAAATAAAATTTCTTGAGTACAAATACGCTTATTGTAGAGTATCTTTAGTATTCAGTGGGTTGCAGCATAAGTTTGAAGATAGAAAATAAACAATTCTGATAATTACTTCTGTTTTTCTGTACAGAAAAAAAAAATGTTTCATATATTTTTGCTAAGTATTATTATCATTATATGCAATAAACAGATGTTGTTTAACAAGAAATTATTGTTTATTTTTTGGAAAGAAATTATTTAATGTATGTTCTAAAGATTTTGTCATTGAATAATAATTACTGAAAGTCATAATTCTCATGTATCTTATTAATTGCTTAAATCATCATCATAGTTTATAACAGCGCGAGATGGGCGTCAAGAAATCTGCTCTCATCTCACCTACTATTCTCTTACTCTTTTATACAAGAGTTATTAATGTCTTTATATCCTTCCTTTATTAGTTTGTTCATCTATCCTATTCGCAGGCACCAGTTATAAGTAACTATATGCCTTATATATATATACCTTATATATATATAACTTATATATATATAAGTATCAACCGTCTGTTTTATTGTCCATCCAACTTGTTCGCATGTAGCAGTTATTAGGTACTTCAAAACTTCATCCTCTTTTCATTCATCTTACTCGCAGATTTTATCAGTTTTTTGTTCACTAAGATTCATTCATCTTACTCGCAGGTTTTATCAGTTTTTTGTTCACTAAGATTGTGTTGTTAATTTTATCATTATATAGTAGCTTAACTAGAAGTGTGTCTAGATAGCGTTAAACTGGAAAATACTTTTTTTGTATCTATGCCTTATTCTCTTGCTAGATGGGTCATTGAATAAATTGTCTTCATCGGTTTACGATATCTCGCATTGCGCTATATAATCAATAAATTTTATCTTAGTATAATGCGCCAGTATAGTGCTTCACATGTTGGGTTAAGTATGTATATTCCTGAGAATTCATATTTAAAAATCTTTTAGTGCAGATGTGTGCTTTATAAACAATGTCCATGTTTCAGCTATGGAAGTAGATTTTACTTTATGGAAGTAGATTAATTTACTTTTGAAATAAAGTTGACAAACAATTATATTTAAATAAATTGGTGAACATAATACATGTTTTGAATCCTTTAATATCTAATGATTTTCTTTGGTTTTGGTTTACGTGTGATTTTAAGATAGGCAATCAGTTCATAAAATATATTGCGACAAGGTATCTTAAGGTATCCTTGTATTGAGTAGTGAAAACCAGTGCTACTAGTATAACAACATTTAAATACTACAATGCAGAAACCAAAGAAAATCATTGAGGACGAATGACATGTTAAAGGACTTCAAGATTGATCCCATCAAAAAATACATGAAAGATAGAGCCCTGAAATTATTTGCGAAATCTGACAGACCTACCAACACCGCGTTTTGGAGTCTCAAAATGGTTACAGGCTCCTTGGGGGAGGTATGCAGATCTGCTGTCGATTATTGCTTAGTCTAATGAAGTGATAAACAATAATCCAGTCAAGGCGTAAAGAAGGGTTTTAAAAATACGTCGAGTTAAGAAAGAGTAAAAGTGCTTAAGTGGACAGGCTCAAATAGCTTCCACATAATATATATATTTAAAAAATTTGTTTCTATATATTGGTCCCTGATTTGCTAACATACCTGCAATTGACTGAAAACTTTGTTAAAAAAGTTATACTTATTATTTAAAGTTAGTAGATAATTCACTTCTTAACGAAATAGTTAATATTCTCTTCCAGAAAAGTCTTAAATTATAACAATATCTTAGAATAATAATATCTTACTATTATATAATTAAAATCATCAACATTCGTGATAAAACTGCATAATTCCTTTAAGTTTAATTTTAAATCCTTTCCTATCAGTAGAGTTTAAGTAATTAATACAGCTTATCTTTGTTAATATCTTTAGGTCATATGTCTGCACTTAATGCATTAAAAAATAAAAGAAAACATTTGAAAAAGAAAACATAATAATCATTTTAGTTTATTTTGATTGCATTCTCTTGTATTATTCATTTTTTATCTTGTATCTGTGCTCCTCTACTTTCAGTGCCGTCTGGATTATAAGCAAGGTTATATGGCGCATCGTCAAAACCCTACACAGCTTTCACTCACGGAATACATTGACGCACACAATGCCTACGTGCAGCAATTACATGCCACAAATGCGATGCTGGAGCAATACCACTGTGAAACTGTGCCACAACTGATGCAGGAACTCGAGGAAATTCATAATGATTTATGCAGTATTATTGCGGATTCGATACTACAAGGCGTTGACATTATTGCAAATAAGGTGCGTACTCATTCAGATAATAATAAGTAAATAAGCATGAAATTATATTAGTTGGATAATATATTCACTGCATAATCAGTACACTGGAATACATGGTAATTTACATACGAATTTCATTTTAACAGTGAGATATAACGTCTGTCTTTTTTCTCTGTGGCTGTTTCAATTTTATTTGCATATTTCGGTTTTATAATTGAGAAACTTTATTTGAATGTTAATTTAAACTACTTCTTCGCATTTTCAGTCCTTTGAAGAGTTAAGACCTATATAGTCATTATATAAAATTAGTTGTTATGATATATTTCAACTGTTTAAATTAAATTAAATAGTTATATTAACTAAGTCATTAACTCTTTAAAAATACAGTTTTTGTTGAAAAAATTTCCAGTATAAACCAAATATTTTATCATTTCTTCAATAAGTTGTAGGAACGTTAAATTGTAGTTGGGGAATATCGTTGACATCATGCAAACTGGCACTGAGTTCTTCATGTGCCAAACTTATTAATAAAATGTGAGAAGACTCAAGGATATGCAGGCATCTGTATGAGATTTGACCACGTACCAACAAAAGAAAATCAAACTCTCTCATCGAGATGTTCCATAGAGATATCAGTCTTGTAGTAGGTTTACTTACAGGTCATTGTTTTTTAGATAACCATGCAAGGAGATGAAATCTCCTTTTCAACCGTATCCGGTACATATACGGCGCCGCCTAATCACTATAGGGGATTTCTCATTTGGTGATTTTGGCGAACTGTAATACCTCTCCTTGAATAGCATCATAAGCTTTGCCAAAGACTCTAAATAGTTTTAATAATAATGTGGTTTTTATTACTGCCGTAGTATAATGGATCTATAAGTTTAAGTGGACCCCTTGAGATCGCCGGAATAATCTAACATTGGTTTTACTCAGCTGTAGTGTTATCTTTAGGAACTTGAATTATTTATTGGGGACTAGAAATTTATGAGTTTAAAATTCCTGATTTGCCAGATATTCATTTTAGCGATAATAGGATCCAAACCCATCAAACAATAATTTTCTATACTTGCCAATGTTTTGCTTTTTCTAATTGGTTGGTATGATCATCTTTGTCTACACCTATTTTGATATTTTTCGTTTCTCCCTAAATATACACGATCATTTTTTGTACGTAAATACAAGCAAGAATATATATATATTTGTTACGAATAGGCACAAGTTCTGACATTTATTACTAAGCAACACTTTTTAAATAATGTGACGAGGTCTAATGCTTTAAATGCTTTTAATGAAAACTTACATCCCCTAATGAGAACATACCCTTATGTTAATTTATTTATTTTTATTTGTAAGGAGATGTATTATTTATTCTGTATAGATTAATTATTAGCATATATGAAAGGTAAATGTAATAAATTAAAGCTTATTAATACTACAGTTTGAAAGTTTCAATACTAAGAGGTATTTTTGTTACATTAAAATATATATATTTTAATTGTAATTTAATTTATATTTTTATTAATTTTTTATTTATAATATATTTTTGATTTATTCGTTGTTTGGGAAATTTTTTTTTTTATTATATCTAGTAACGCATTGGAATCATCAATGACCATAAAAATTACAATACATACATTTTTGATTTTTGAGGTTATCAAATCAGTGACTATCAACTCAACTAACAAATCAATTATTTAGTTTGCGTTATTTTTATACAAAAGAAATATCAATTAAATGCTAATAATTTAAATTATGTACATTTATTCAATTTTATATCTAAAAATAAATATTAGTAACAAAAAAAAATTTACGCAACAAGGTAGAGCATAATATATACGAGATAGTGACTCTAGGGAAAACATACTAACAAAATAATTAAAAATAATTAATTTGTCACAATAAACATCTGGAAGTTTATATATACCAAATGCAAAACTATTTATTTCTATTAACTTTCTGTACAATTTTTCGTCACTGGTATTAAAAATAACATATTTAAAATGTAAAATGTTTTCGTAGAACCTATCCAATAATTTATATAGGACTGTTTTACATGCATGTATCTTATTTCAGATTTATTGACAAAATAAATTTCTTCTATTAAATTTCTAACAAAATTCATCACAATTATTTAACTATAAAGCCCAATTGTAATCAAAAAATATATTAACCATCAAGTGTTATTTTATTATGATTTTTAAAGAGGTTTTCGAAAAGTGGTGAAATAAATCCACAAAAATTATTTTAATTAAATGAATTTTTGGTTAACAATACAGCTATTTCGAGTATTGCCAAATACCCATCATCAGAGGTATTGGAAATAATTTTTGTATTTAATTATTCCTAAATATTTTTTTTTTTGAGACTGTAAAAAACAGGAATCGCACTCGAGCCCTGCCAATTTGAACCTCCGAGTCAGCGCTTATTTTTCTGGAATTTTGCTGTGAATGTTTATCAACAATTTCACTTTCTGTGTTTATAATAGAACGAAATCATAAAGCAGTTCTAAATAATTAAATTAATTAATTTATTAATTATTTATTCTGTTTGTAGAGGCATTATTTGTTGCACGTTTTCTATATTATTTGATATGTGTAGTACCTAATTTAGAAACGTAATATTGAGAAAGTCATGCTAATGTTACTCCATTAGACTTTTTATTTAACCATATTAAAATAATCTTATGTATCCGCTGTATATTTTCGTTGATATAACCTAATTAAAATAAAATGAACTTTAAAAAATACGGTATTTAATTATATTATTGAGTGAATTGATTTGTAATTGGATACCGTCAATTTATAATCTTTTGACATATTTTTAATTATCAAATACCAAGCAAGTTTGCGCGCGCGAAAAGTGAACACTCCGTAACTTTTATTGTTTTTGATTGGAAATAATTAAATTACAAATCTCAAAGTTATGATCATTTTGAGCGATAGACCGTAAATATAAAAATTCTACTAATAATTAGTGCCAGTAAACGGTGATATTAAGATTTAGTAAAATAAAAATTTTTGTTAAACAAATTAAAAACTTTTTTTATGTTTGCAAAAACAACCAAAACACAAAAAATTGAGTTCTTGCTCAAAACAGCTGATAGAGACAGCATATGATCTTTTTAACGAAAGTTATAAATTATAAATGTGGTGTTGCCACAGTGTTTTTAAGTATTCTTAAAAAAACTTAAATAGATAAAATAAATAAATAAATTTAATAAACAAATAAATTTAAATAACATTTTATTTGGAAATTTTCGATTTTAAATAATTAAAAATAATTAAATAAACAAAGTGTAAATAAATTGTAAACCTAATACCATATATGAGCGAATATGAAAGAGTTGTACGTCGGCACTCTCATATAAGTGAAAATGGCTTGAATGGCTATATTATGCTTAGCACAGAAGACGTTAAAACAAATAAGAAACTTAAAACAAATTCTGTACACGAAACTAATATAGCAAAAATAGCTAGTGAAATTGCCACAGCTAATAAAATTAAGTTAACCAACAACTTAACAAATTCTTTATTAAAAAACACAAAAACATATAAAGATATGTCGCCACAAAAAGTCTTGGATGAAAGACCACTACCTGTAAGACGTAATTCCTTTACAACTTCGGTAAATGTTCCTGTAAGTTCGAACCAAATTCCCGTAAAAACATTTGTAGAAAACATTGTATACACTCTACCTACAAGTAATACAACAAACTCAATTGCCACCTCTTTATCAACTAGCATAATAACAACAACATCATCAATGCATGAACCAATAATGTCAACAATTTCTCCGCCTTTGCAAAAATTGCAGAGTACCACTCTAAATACTCCACTTTCAACAAAAAGAAATAGATCATCTCCTATTAATCAAAAAGAAAAGCAGAGGATCAAGAAACAAAAGCAAAAAGAGCAATCGTCTAATCAGCAAACGCTGACGAACTATTGGCTTGCCAAACCAGCAAACAGGTTCGCATGCTTATCGGACGAAAATGATAACGGCGAAGTGAATAGTGAAAAGAGCGACAGCAACGAAAACGATGCAACAAAACAAATTAAAAAAACCAAACCACCACCGCTCTTTATTCAAAAAGTAGAAAGACTAGACATTTTAATAAAGGCAATTGACTCAATACCGAATTGCATAATATGAAATAAAAGTATTACCAAATAATGAAGTCAAACTGCAACCATTTGACTCAACTTATTACACCAGCATAATAAAGCTGCTTAAAGAAAAAAATACCGAATACTATACATATAAACCGAAGGAAGAACGAGGTTTTAAAGTCTTTCTCCGTGGCATGCACTACTCAGTGGATACAAATGAAATTAAAAAAAGCCTTCCTGAAAACGGTCATGAAATCATAAATATCCAAAACATATTACAACTACGAACTAAGAAGCCATTGAATTTATTCTCTTTAGAATTAAAACAAAATGTGAATAATAAAGAAATTTACTCAATTAAATATTTACTTCACTGCAAAATCCAATTTGAGCCACCTCGCCCTCAAAAAGTCATACCTCAATGTTCTAACTGTCAAAAATATGGACATACAAAAAATTTCTGCACCAAGTCACCGGTTTGTGTTAAATGTGCAGGAAATCATAAAACCGCCAATTGTCCAACAAAAGGAAATTCTGAAAACATAAGCTGTGCCTTATGCGGAGAAAAGCACACAGCCAACTACAAGGGATGTGAGGTGTACAAAGCACTTAAAATTAAACGATATCCTATCATGAGAGAAAAAGTAACACCCGTCCAAACAAGTCAGCAACAATCTTTGAACACAACAGACAATGCAACTGCTCAAAACACAAATGCCAACATCCCACAAACATTATCATATGCCCAAGTTACGCGTCAAACACCTGTTGAATCTAACTCTTACAACCCAGAACTCGCAGAGTTAAAAGAAATGATGAAAACATTGATAACACAAATGTCAGGAATGATGAACATTTTAACGGCGTTGGTCACAAAAATCAATGGGTAAGTTCAATGAATTAAAAATAGTAGCATGGAATGCAAACGGTATAAGTAGA